TTTATAGTTACCGTGTCGGGTAAAAAGGTTGAAGCTTGCAACACGGCCCCCCCTTTGCCGCTGTAAAAAATTATAAAACTACAAGGTGACATCACACAACCATCATATTTGCCTGTCAAAGCTGCTGAACAATCTGCGCCAGATGAGGCTCAAATCTCTTCCTTTAGTTCAAGCTCGGGCATCCGATTAAGCTGCGTCACCCATTAGCCCAATAACCGTAGGATCCGGCAAACACGTGATATGGACCGTCTAATCGGGGACGTAGCAGGTCACTCGCCCGTTAAGCCGTCAACCCGGACAGTCGCGAATCCTCGCGAACCCGCTCGCGAGCCCTCTCCGCGACGCATTTCTCTCCTCCAGTCCTCTGGCTGCCCTCCGCCGCCCTGGCACCTCCCTCCTCCTCACGGCGCGGGCGGGGTGCGGGCGCGGCGTTCCCGACGCGGGTGGATCCCCAGCGACCACGGCGTACGCGGTTTGCGGGCGCGGCGGCTGCGGCTAGCCCAGAGCGGGCGGCGGGTGTTGGCACGACGGCTGCGGCCACCCCGGAGCGGGCGTGGGGCTCGAGAGCTGCAGCCTCTCTCGAGACGCCCCTCCCCCTGCAGCAGCGCCGCCTCTCCTCGCAGTATGCGCCAACCACGTCCGCTCAGCCTCGTCCTCGGCGTGAGCTGCCTCCGCTGCAAGGGTTGGCTGCGACGACGAGCATGCGCTAACCAGCCGCGTCGCCCGCCGGCTTCTTCACTTGGTATGCCTCGTAGCCCGCACCTGCCTTCGCCATGGCCCTCCTCCGGGACCTCCTCCGCGCTTACGCTCTGTAGCTCCCTGCGCCCCTGTGTGACCTGCCACCGCGCATAGCGGATGGGCCAGCGCTCCGGCAGCTGGAGCAGCCGACGACATCCACGACGCGCAGCGGCTGTTTGAGAAATGACTCCGAGGCAAGCCGCTCACCAAACTAGCACCAGGCCTAGACGTCCTCGACCCGAGAGGCCTAGAACAAGGTGGCAACTTTATCCTTGGGCACGTCTTGCTTGTGTCCTCAATTTGAAATTTTCTATGTAGATTTTTTTCCCAATCTAATTTCAACATAGGCCTGGCATCCAGCATGAACACAGAAGCAGCTTCTCAAACTCAACCAAATCAAAGATGCAAAGAAGATCGCCTTGAAGCACCGGAGGCGTGGGCAGCAGCACAGTACCAAACCCCATCCCCATCTTCCCTGCGCCTTTTGTGTTTTAACTGAAGGAGATGCTAGTGAAGGAGCAAAAATGTTATTCAAGTTGAGTCCCAAATATTTTTCCCACCAAAAGGATCAGTGACATTATTCAAATGTTTAATCTGCTGATAGCTTGCTAATTCCACTTAACAGACTATCTTGAACTATTATTATTAATATAACAACCCTTTGAAGCTTTACTAGTTTCTCTGTTTAACTGAGTGTTAGATCAAAGAAAACCACGCTAGAAAACCTATTGGAGTACAAATAGTATTAGGGATGCCATACTATTAATTTTCTCATGTACTGCTGAAATTCGAGTTTGCATATCTTATCCAACCAAACGAGATTCATAACCTCACACAGCAAGTGAAATTATCGTTCTCTTGTTAGTATGTGCTGAAATGAAATAATGCAATTGTGATATGTGGTTTAGATGACACTAGACCCAGTCAGGAGTTTATGAGGAGCGGCGGATCCAGGAATAATTTTAGGGGGGCTGAACAACACATATCTCCGACTGCTGTTCAATCTTAAGTCTCAGCTCCACCTACACTATAGAACTTTGCCTAAAAATTCATGGGGGCTCCACAAGGGGTTCCACTGCTCCGGTATGGGTAGGGGGGCTCGAGCCCCCCCGTTGGATCCGCCCCTGTTTATGAGGATGGCCGATTTATGTTTGGAAGACTGGAACAATGGTTTTTTTTTTCTTAAAATCATCATATTTCAAGTCTCTGTGCGAAAGCTCTAAACTGACTACAAGTTCTGCATACTTCCTGGAGAAACTACTATGTCATTAATTTTTACAAAACTATATCTTATCTCATTTGTAGTAATTAGCGGATTTGTAACCATGTCCAGTGGTACCCATAGAGGTTCTATGCGCATCTTTTTTTCTTGAACTTTTTTTACAGCAAGCTTGTGAGAAGGGCTATGCCTGCATTACATATCATTGTAGAAATCTCTGTCAACCTATGATGCTCCATATCTTCTGCCGGCATAAAATTTAATATTACCTTCATAAAATATTTTACACATTAAATAATTTCAATTACAGATTATATACTACTTTGCAGTGAATGGGAAATCTGCAATGGAGAAATGGTGACACATCTTCAGAGAATTTTTAGGTAGGATAAGGTGATTATTCAAAAAGTGGACAAGTCTTATCTTGAAGTATTTGAAGATAGTAAAGAAAATGTTTTAAAGTGGGTGTAAAAGCATTTTTTCACTAATAGTTCCTTCTTGTGTTCCTTAGGTCTTTTAACAGTCTCCCCTCACTGTTGAATAGTAAAATCTAATCATATTTGTTTACTGAAAATACATTGAGCAAGGAAATTGAACAGGGCCCATTTACATAACTGCACTTATCCCCTACATATGTTCTTGCTAGCTATCAATTACTATACTTTGATGGCTTCAGTTCTAGAGGTCAAGCTACTTTACAAAATTCATATGCTAGAAAGGGGAAAACATTATCTGAACCACCCCCTATTCTCTGTTAATAAACAAAACATTATATTGCCTCAAAGAGCAAATTCGAGAGACCTGAAATTCAGTTGCCTCTAGTAGGCATGAACTATGCTATTGAATTAGTCTCGCACAACGTCAATGGCCAAACTTCCTGATATATTGATTGTCTTGCTATCCGCTGCACAAACACCAAATTCTACACAACCAGCTGGCCAAGCCTCTCTTTGCCCCACACGATCATGTCTTGCCCGTCCATTGGAAGCTGGGCGCTTGCAAAATGTGGAGCTGCGAGGGAGGAGGACTCAATCATGTAGCATGGGAACTGAAGCACGTATTGTACGTATTGTATGCATACCAGGTGTTCAATGAAATGGCTAAAGGCATCAACTCTCATTTCTTTTACTCACTGGCAATTTTGCAGGGCTAAAAATTTTCTGATATGGTGTCTGATGATCATGTCTTCTATGGTGCTTACGATGTAAATGGTAATTAATTCAATCCAACTTCATATACTGCTTTTGTGTTCTGAAAATGTAAGGCTATCATTTTTTTTTGAAAATTAGATCCATGTGCTATAGCCGGTCTAAATTTTTTACAAGATCCAACCTTCTGTAGCAGGCTACCAGCTCACCTGCAAACTTTATTATTATTTAGCATAATTATATTATGTAAGCACTGATCTTACAATAAAATCTGGTTATTTGTGTTCTATGTGCACCACAGATGATTAATTCACATGCACATCTCAAGAAGATCTGAACAGATTAAGAAAGCATATTATCGATCACATTTACCTATGACGCTAAGAACAAGGTCAGCTACATACCTGTTCTGGACTCTAAAATGTAAATCATCTTTAGTAATCCACCCATTTATGAATATGAGTGTTCTATCAAGTTCTATTCTATTAGAAGAAATTTATTTCCTTTTGTAGGGCTCACCTATTCCAAAAGTTAGATATGCTAAATTAAATGTTTCTTCATTGTATCTCTACAACAGTCCCATTCTCATACATCATCATGTATTCTTTGTTTCCATGCAGGCTCTTGAAATGAAGCTCTGCCTGAAGATATTTGGGAGTGCAAGGATGTTACATTTCATAGAGAAATGACATGCAATTTTTCCTTAAGACATAGTGTTCTTTCAACATTACTATTGTAGAGTTGACATACAGCTGTGGAGTTGCACGATTTAGTGAGAGCAATGCATATGAATCCATACTAAGAGCATCTCCAAGAGTTTGTCAAATTTTACTTGACAAATCTTGTGATTTGCCAACTCCCAAAATTATATGCCAAGTAAAAAAACAATCCATCTCTAAGAGTTTGGCATTTTTGACTTGGTAAAATAAAAAAAACCTGTTAACAAAATGAAGAGACCCGCTAAGCGAACGAAGAGCCCCGCTAAGCGAACGAAGAGCCCCGGATGCCAAGCCGTATACGCGCGCGTATATTTGCGCGCGTGGAGGGAAGATTTGCCAAGTTGCTATTGATGCCAAGTTGTTTTGCCAAACTGTTGGAGGCTATTTTTTCCTGTTTTGCTAAAATTATATGAATGCCAAGTTGAGATAGCAAACTGTTGGAGATGCTCTAAGAAATCTGAATTGAATCACTAATTTGATGATCAGGTCTTCTCAGTAATGTTCTAATGCAAGATGTTGTTGTATTCTTCTCTAGTAACAACTTAGTTCAACTTCAAAATCATCATACATCTAATCTCGTAGCTCAAGTGCTAAACTTTTTTTTTTTTGCAAAAAAAAAAAGCTACGCTGGTTAACTCCAAGGAGGGCGCGTGCCGCACCGAGTTTTCTAGTATAAACCGATTCCAAACACGCATCAAAACTACCGAATGGGGACAATCAGTTACCAACGGCTCGCAAAGTCACAACACGTTCCTCTGTATTATTCCAGAACACCAGTACTACTGCATCGCAATCCGATGGCAGTTTAAAGACATTTTTACATGCTTCTCGCAACTATGCAACCCACTGCCCACTATAGCAGTGTAGAATGCACTGCTACGCTCCCCAGGCCTGACTGGCAGATCTTCTATACAACCATCATATATCATGCATTCATGTTACAGAAACCAAAAAATTGAAACAAAGTTATTCTACAATGCTCTTACAAACAACCCCAGCCCAAAAATTCCTTAAATAATAGTGATGGGCAGTGCCACCTCATCACCTTGCATCAATTTTGGGAAGGGCAAGCATACAAAAACTGCAAGGCACCTCAATCTTCCTATGTTCTCGAGGCACCCTGTTTCCCTCAACTGCTAGAGTGGGTTTCCAGCCAAAAGCTAAAGATCAGCTAAATCATTGCGCCACCAGGCTTGAATATTCAGGTCCAATCTCCGAAGTCGTTACGCTGGATGACCCTGCCGATGTCACATTGCTGTATGAAGAACCGTTCCTGGTGGATTTTGGTTGGAGCTCCAGCTCTCTATGCCTCTCTGGGGCTGCTGCAGGTTCTTGACCTTCGTCAGCTAATCTCTTCAGGATGTTCATTACAGTGGGAACAAATTTCGTCGACAGTGAAAGGATGGCAGGAAGCTGTGTGACAGCGCAAGAATAAAGAAGTTGATTAGACAATATTCAGGTGGCTAACGTGTGCAACAAAAAGTGGGTTTGAATACTCACAAATCCGTGTTGGAATTCCCTGCCAATTTCTGACTGCACCCAAATGGCTTTTCCAACAAGATAAATCACAAATATGGCAAACAGGTAAAGCGGATTCCTGTTATTCAAGTGAAAAAGTTAGCCTGGTCAAAAGTGATAACTCCACTACTGACATGCATGTATGTTTCTGCAGACAAAAGAAATACCTCAGTAATGTCATAAACTCATTGAATCCAAGGATAGCCATTGCAGCAAGTGCCCATGGAGGTGGCAGCCAGTTGTTGTTCCTCCTATTTGCTTCCTGATCAAGGCAACAGTAATGTTTAGCATTCTCAAACGTTAATATTAAAGTGGACCATTCCAACTTCCCAAAAAAAATCATAAGTAATAAACAAAATAGAGGGATTTTGAGATGACATCCACAAGGTGTCAATAGCACATATCAGTTAACTGGTCGAATGGAAATGTGGAGATACCTGAGCAGCAATGGCTTGAGTGACTGTATATTCAGTTTCAGCTTTGAATTGCCTCCACAAATTTTTGCACTGCACAGGGGTAATTAAAGTCTTCTCCTCGGCAACCTGCTCATGAATGTCATCTCCTCAGCAAAACATATGTTTTGTGCTTAAAGAAAGTACTAAGCAAAAACTGGGTGTTGCTTCAGCAGAGGAACATAAATTGGACATGTAAAATACAGCTTTGTTACCCTTTCCCATGAGCTGGAGGCAAGTGGATCGGACAATTGGATACTCCTATCTGTAGTCCCAGGTTTTGAAGTGTCAACAAGAGCAACGGAGAGAGTGTTCTCAATGTTATCACCATCCTCCTCCAACCGAATTGCAGCTATTGTAGAAAGCAACTTCATGGACTGCAGCAAAATGGGAGAATGAATATGCTTCAGTTCCTAAGACAATTCCTTACTGTTTCATATATATAGTATTAAATATTAGCATTTGACGTACAGCTGAGCGAGCGGTTTTAGTTATAGCTTTTATGTCCTCCTTTCCTGTCCACACCCTGGGCATAGAGTCAGCATCTCGGCTGAACAGTGTTGAGAACCTGTAAATTTGTTTCAGTTTAGTCTGCACAGAAGATATATATGAGTTGTCGGTATGGAGCACAGCTCACCTGTCCTTCATGCGAATCAAAACCCTTCCAGCTTCTTCTTTTGCCTTTGACTCAACAACACTCCTTCCATGCTTCTCCAGCTTCGCAAGCAGTTCTTTCTCAGTTGCTTCATCGAGTTCAAAAGCTGACACAGCAGATTCAAGACCTGAAACAGCAGTTTTTGTCTCGCGTTGAAGAAGCTTTCTAATAGCTGGCCACGTATCTTCACTGGCTGAATCTAGAAGAGATTCAACTGGTTCCGCCAGAGCTTTGGTAAGTTGTGCCTGAAAGAACGTATCTTAAGATTAGACAAGGATTCTCTGTGCTGCATGGTGACACAAACAGATGAATTCAAACAGGGACCAACCTCATATTTGGCACGAAGTTCAGATAATTTAGTAGCTCGAACTGAAGCTACATGAGCCTCAATGTCACGTCTAAGCTTATCCTTCACTTTTGAGGTGTCCCAATTCACTTGTTGAATAGCAGCATCTGTCAAAGAATATATGCACACATCTGATAAGATATACATTTACGTGGAAAGGGAGGGTGCAAACTGGCAAATAGCATCCTTCATTCCTTCCCTTTGGAAGGAGAGTTTTAGACAAAAGCCTTGAACCTAGAAATAACTAACAAATGGAGTCTCAATTGATGTTTTAGAAAGCTGAAACGCCAACAGCAAATCTGTATTGTTTCATTGTAAGTCTGTTTACAGCCCATTTCAGACTCAGCTGGCTCGTACAGTTACCAGAACCAGAAATGTACCGGTCCATTTGAAGAATTTTTTGACAGAATTGATCAAACTTGAACAGTGAACACCACTAAGACCAAATTGATTTCATAATTGAACAAAGAACACTAGGAAAATATCCAGTAACAAGTGCTGGAACAAATATCACTTCTAGGTAGTCTGTTAGTCTAGGAAGATTCGCTGCTAGATTATACAAACCGGTTTCCACTTATATTCTGGATTAATGTTTCCAACATACCCCAGAGTTGACTGACTGGCAATGAACATAAGTATGTTTCTACTGAAGTGGAGCACTACCAAAATAAGAAACAAGTAAAGATTAACAATCCTGAAAACATACCTTCAGATCCTTTTTCAAACTTCTCCAAGAAAGTTTGAGTACAATTGCGAGTTGCAACAGCAAACCCCTCCTTTTCTAGGGCCTTGTCAAAGAACTCCTTAAATGCTTCTAAAGTTCTAGTACGTAAGTGACCTAGAAGAGATTGATAGGCAGGATTGACAAGCTACAAAGACGAGGAAGGCATTGGTGTAAATAAAATGTTAGTAAGCAGCACAATAAAAATAAATCAAAATGCAAAAAAAAGAAATCAGGCTGCGAACTTGGGAACATGTAAGCAAATTATATATTAAAGAATCATGGCAGGAAGATGAATACACAAAAAACGTAGTGGGTACTAATTAGATAAAAGGTTCCCACTCTTCCACTAACCAGTTACAAAACATTTACTCAGGAAATGTACATCAATATTTGTTCCCCAGATTTATAGTTTCGTTTATGACAATGGACAGATACATGAGTCACACCATAAATACCTATGCTAACTCTTGAACTCAGTTTATAAATGTATGTTGATTTGGACACATATCAGTGAGAAGTTTAAACTTTGGCTACAACATATGAACAATTACCAAGATTGACCAAATGAAAGTAATATGAATATGTTCATCATCAAAAAGATACTCTCATCATACATTATTTTCATAGTGTTCACCAGCATATAGTAGCCAGAGTTACCCCATGAAGATTATTCACATCCAAAACGACATACATTCATAAACAGATGGAGTATGTATTTGTTCGTGAGAATTTCAGAGATAAGAGTAAATGAAGCAAGTGTGGAGAAGTACAATTTATTTCAAAATTCATACAATCGATCAAATGTGCTTGAGATACAATAGTTCAAAAGTATGATCGAACCTGTAAGAGTTTAGACTCAAGTTGTTGTCTTTTAGAGCTTCTAACACCTTCATCAAAATAAATAGCCTCCATGTCATACCTGTGACCAAAGAAGAACAAAATCATCATGAAAGGAACGAATCTTTTTTTTTCCAAATACCTTCAATATTTAGGCCAAGAATTGAGCATGTAAATCATATAATTCATCTACAACAAATGGATAGCCTCCACTCTGCTGTTCTGCAGTAATTAGTTGGCTCCAAGAGTTCTATAAAGGCAAATGGGACTCTATTTATCTTGAATAGACTTGTAACAAGTCGAAAAGATCATCTAAATCATGGGGATCCCATGACCAGAAAGATAACAGAGTACTCATAAGACAACCAATAAACTCACTCTGATAAACATCTATCAAGAAGGCTGCTGAGCTTCTTCCCAAAGCCAGGAATAAAGTCATGTTGAACAGCCTCCTCAAATTGTTGCCATTCCTTCACATAGAAATCATATAGAATCAGTTCTTGAAGGAATCTATGATCCATAAATCATGTGTGATATGTATTATAATCACCTCATCAGCTGTAAAACTGGCAAGTTTCCCATTACCAATTTCCTCACAACGTACAGTAGCCACCATAACCTGAAGTGAAGCATAAAAAAAAGTCAACATACATTTTGATAGCTTAAATTGGAAAACAATGGATGGTACTCACTTTATGAGCAGGCAGATCAAGGTCTTTGTTCTCCTTAATGACTTTCCAAAATTGCTGGGAACTAAACGAGAAACCTGAACCTGGGACGACACCACGACGATCCCCAGCAAGTCCACCAGGAGCAATAGAATGCTGAAACCTATCTCTTAAATCAGAAACCTACAGAAAGAATTGTTTACAATTAGACATAATCCCAGCAAAATCTGCAATGAGCATACTTTTCACAATTTACATTTCATATACACCAACCTGCTGTTTGAATAACTCTTCTTTTTCTTCATAACTCGACAGTGCCACAACTTGTACCTGGATGAGGAAAACAAATGCACTTTGTAGTGAACAACTTCAGTATAAAACATGTGTTGAAGAAAGGTTAAGTCATGATTTTTACATCGAAAAATTCACTAAGTGGAGTTTCTTTATGGGCATGGGGTTTCGGAACAGCATCCCATATCTGCAGCAAAAATGTAAACAGCTTATAGGCCACAGATAACACAAACGTCTCAAAAGAAAACAGGATATCAACTAAACGCATACCTTCTGAATGTCTTCCCTTAGAATTGGTTCAAGATTTTCTAAGGGTGTCTGTCAGAAACCAAAAGGAGCCAATAGTCAGTATACAAGGAATTAGACGTGAAAAGGAAAGTAGAAATGCTGGCAGTTGTTCGCATGTTTTAATTCTAACCAGCCTAAACTGCAAAATAGCAAGCCCTTACCCTTGATTTGTCACGAATAACAAACAACAATGTTGTTTTGCGCGGACTGAACAACCTCATCATAACCTACACATATGAAAAAAGAAAATTCCAAGGTAAACGCCTCAAATGCCAATTCACATCAAGCATAGACAAAATATGGTAAAAAAAGCTGCATCAAAATAATACTCATAAACAACTTGCCTGGAAAACAGTCTTCAAAAGAGGCTTGTTTGCAGCCTGTTCTCTGCCAATGTCATGGCACCACCTATATAGGAAAACAAAAGAATTGTTGAGCTGCACAAGGGAATAATTGATCCAAGTCCAACAACAATCGCTTCACTAAACAAACTTACATATTAATCAACACAATGTCCGAAACGGCCAAAGCAAACAATGCACTTTGCTTCTCAAATGCTGTGTCATCCTGAAATATCATCATGTGTATGAATTATGCATCAGCAATTCAGCATAATGTGGAGTATTAGCTCCATAACACAAAATGTAATTTTGCGAAGAATCAGTTTCAGCAAAGCTCAGCTTATTACAAGATGAGATGAGGAAACAGCAGGCATCACATTATGAGGCTTACTCAACAAGAGAGTCCTTTGTACACTTGAAATCCGTAATATTAATAATCTTAAATCAATAGAGAGGGCCTAACAGGCTCCACTATACAAGATGCCACAGCAAGGTTCAGGATGCACAAGATGCTTGGGGATGTCAAAAAAACTGTGTTTCAGTTTTATAAGAAAAAAGATGTCTTAAGAACAAGTAGAATTAAGCATATATCTCTGTGACACTAGTAGCACATGTCAAAACCAAACCACATCCAAATTGGAGGTATGCTCGTTTTATTACCTCTCCCCTCTCTCTTCCATCAGTTCCTTCCAAATCCATTACAAGGGTGCACGGTTCAATATTCTGGGCCTTCGCTAACCATATACCTTTGGTAGTCTGTGACCTGATGGTATAAAAAATACTAAATAAGATAAAGAAGAACAGACTGCACCAGAGCCAAGAAGGTTTGTAATGAGAATTGAGAAATGGAAGATAAATCAGAAGGGACTAGAAACATGCCTTCCTCTGAAGGCATCCATCTCCCTAAAATTGGTGCCAAAAAGATGATTCAAAAGTGTACTTTTCCCTACAAAAAAAATGAGGAACCATGCTGTAATCAGACAAAAGGAAGTATGCAGTGAACAGAATCAAAACAATGGAAAGGAAAGACCCCATACCACTACTTTGCGGGCCCATTATTGATACAACAGCATAGGAGAGCCCGCATTCACCCAATCTGACATCCTTCATGAAGTTCTCCAATCCGGAGACGTTGAAGGCCCCATCTCCATCAATTAGCTGTGTTGAGAAACACGCATCCCCCATTTCTGCTCTGCAGGATTCAAATGAATGAGTCATAAACCATCACTTCCAAAATCAAAAAGGAAAAAAACCGAAGTAAAAGCAATATGATTGCAGCATTCGCCCCTGCTTCCAGCCTTTCCCCCAAAACAAAATCGAAAATGGTAGATTAGCGTAAGGCCTTAGTGAATAACTTCAGCACAAGAAGAAATATATTGGACTTTTGCGAATTAGAAATATATTGGACTTTTAAGAACTAGGCCATCAAGCTGCACTACTGAATAATCAGGTGATTTTCATACTGCAGAACCAAACAATTATTGGCAGATTCTTGTGTACACCATACAAAAACCAGCTCGATTGATCTATGTTTTGCGGCCCATGCCTCCGAATTCCGGCAGAGATCAGGAGCATTAAATGGGGTAGAACCAGGAGAGCAGCAATGTTACTGTACAAAGTGTGCAAATTGATGGATGTCCGCGCTAACTACGCTTCTCCTTAGGTCATCCACGGCTGAATACTGCAATTATTACTAGAGATCGCACAGGGTACACACTATCAGCGGCGGGTTACCACGAGGGCATGGGGGCTCAGCTGAACCCCTCGAGAATCTGGTCTTGGGGAAGGGAAATACTAGTTTTGTTACTCCAAAGCGCACAAGCAAATCTGCAACAAGCCGAGCGATACATCGTCATCCCAGGAAGGGAGATTTGGATTTCAGGGTTCCTTCACAGCGAAGAGAAGTTTCCGCGGAACAAAAAAACAAGTAAGCAAGCTAGGGCATCCTAGACAACAGAACCAGGAATCAGAGAAAGTTCGGGACGGATCTCCAACCCCGCGCCGGCGGCGTCCAGGGAGACCTGCGGCAGAGGTAGATAGGCGCCAGGCGCGGGCGGGAGGAAGGCGAGAAATTTCAATCTGATCGGGGAACGAGGGGGAAGGGGGCACGGACCGTGTGGAGATGGTGCCGGGGCTGGCGCGGCGGCCGGTGTGGGGGTCGGCGTCGGCGATGGCGGACGAGGGGGGAAGGTGGAGGAAAGGGGGAGAGACCGGAGGTGCACGAAGGCGTGTGCGCTTTTATTGGGAGGTGCGTGATTGTAATTTTCAAAAGACGACTGTGTCTCGTTATAAAAGTCAGTCTCGTAAGTCATTAAAAAAAGTTGAATTCCCAAATAGCACTGCAATAGCACTGCTAGTTAGATTTGGGCTCTAACAGTGTTAAACTGGGGGTGTGAAAAATCAAAAATACCCTTAAATCTAAATATATAATTAATTATTTTAGCATCTTAACCATCTTAAATTAAAAAACTCAAAACTAAAAAATTGTAGATTTGAGATCTACACTATTTATATAAAAATTATCTTCAATTGATTCCGTATAAAAAAATGATTTTTCTAAGACATATTAATCATATCAAATCATATCTTTTTTTGTACGGAATTAAATGAAGATAATTTTTATACAAAAAATTGTAGATATTGTTGAGGTCTACAACTTTTTAGTTTTGGGTTTTTTCATTTGAGCTCATTAAGATGCTTAAAAAAATTAATTGCATATTCAGACCTGAGGGTATTTTGACTTTTCATACCCGTGATTTGACACTTTTAGGGCCAAATTTAACCGAAGTCGTGTGAAGGACAAAAGAGTTCATAGCAGTGCCACCTGTGAGAACTCAATTTTTTTAATAACTAATGTGTAATTACCAACTTTTATAATGACACATAGGTAAAAGTCTTTTTTCGAAAAACAGAAGAGTATGGGGTATACGGGTATCGTATAAAAGTGTGTATACCGTACATATATAGATTTATTTTTTAAATAAAACTACCGGAAAAGCAAAGGCGGGTGAGAAATCAGAATATTTCGAAATTTCGATGTGGACGGCTTTGATGCGTCACGTTCCTGGGGCACGACCTGCGTTCGCTTGTGCAGCAGTATAATCTGGATCTGGAGCGATTTTTTTCTCTTTGTTTTTAGAATTCAAGCCAAGCAGATTTGATTTTGAGATTCATCAGTCTCTGTCAAGTCTTACAGGAACAAAACACAAGAGGATGGCCTATTGGCATGGATTTGGAATCGTACAGCATTGACCACTCGTTTGATGTCACATAACTTTAAGTCTTTAACATGCATGATCGAAGATAAAATTGAAAGAGGTCACAATAAATTTTCAGAATTATTACTCCTTTGCAGGCGCCTGCTATCTCGCGTTTCCGTCAGTCGACGCGCCGGTCAATGCTTTTTTCCTCCTTGGTTTGGACTTGGCTTTCAGAGATCTCCGGCGACCTTAGAATGAAAAAGGAAGGGCCCGGGGGTGGCTGGCCGGACAGGCGGTGGTGGCGGGTTGGCCGACGGCGAGAGAGATGGCAGGGAGCCGCCGAGGGGGCGGGGTAGGACTCATCCGGATAGGAAGTGCCGGCGACGGGGGCGAGGGCTCGACAGAGAGTTCGCAGGATTAGGATTAGAGGAGGGGGTCGACACAGCGGCGGGAGAGGGCTGGTGCGGGCGTGAGAAGGAAGAGAAATAGTGCGCAGATTCGGATTAGGGGAGGGCGGGGCTAGTGCGGTGGCAGCGATTGATGGGCGGCGCGGCAACGGCAGGGGAGGCGCTCGCCGGGGCGACGACGCTTAATCAGTCACTTGTGTGGAGGCATACCCATAAATTTTATAGAAAAACAAAAAACTATTTTTTATTATATGGTTTATTTATGATAAATAATGGATCGGCAATATGATAGTTAAAATTCAGGTAATGAATTTGGTGGCGAGGAAAATATGCCCAAACAAAATTCAGATAAATAAACATAGCAAAACGATTATACAGGACTACTCACTATCCAATGGAACTCGGACAATAGGTGAAAAGGGTCAGCCAACAGCTAACAACTATCCTCTGCCACTTAAATGATGGACAACGGCGGCTTGTTATTTCCGTGCTAAATAAACATAGAGCAATGACGCAGCCAATTAGGAGTACAGTACTATTACTATGTTACACCCTAAATCATTTACTAAAACATATCATGAGCATCATGTTTATATGTTAATACATGTGATAGAGTGTGTAGATAAATTTTTTGTAACTTAAAATGATCAATAAAAATGTTAAACGAAAGTTGATTCAATAGTTCATATATATCGGTTTAAAAGTAATTTTTTATTGAACAAAAATGCTATAGAATATATGTATGATACTTAAATAAAGTTTGAAGTACAAACTTTGTATATGACAGTGAAATACTTGCTTTCGAAAAATAACATTACTAACTAATATTTCTACTAGCCTAGAAATTGCAAATTAAAATCAAGTTCAGCTCAAAAACCTAGAAAATTTCTAAGTCTGTCAACAGCTAGACATTGCTATATTTAGTAAATTATTTTGAGAGATTGGGTTAATGGGTGGTGTAGTGTAGTGTTATAGCTCGATTTGGTAGTCTCATATGCCCTCTTGAGCATGGTGAAGATGGTTTGACTCTTGAAGCAACCGTTTAGTTTTTATAGGCGTTTTAAAATTCGAGTACGACACGGTCTCGGGCTAGTTGGCCGCGTGGGCGTGATCACTACGCTCGGGCACTCGGCGTCGCCACGTCGGCTGTCTCGCGTGCACGCGCGCTGCCGCATGTGGTCGGACACGGCTGCTTGGGCCTCGCTATGGCCTGACCGCCGCTGGCTTCTGAACAAAGGCAAGATGTTTCAAAAATTCCGTATATCAAGAAGTTAATTGTCGAAGGGCATGATCCTCATTTCACTGTTGATGATCAAGGTGCGGTGAAGTTCAAGAACAGATTGGTGGCTCCCTATAGTGATGAGCTCAGTAGAAAATTTTTGGATGAAGCTCACAACTCCAAATTATCCATTCATCCAGAAAGTAATAAGATGTATCATGATTTGCGTCACTTATATTGGTGGCCAAATATGAAACAAGATATTACCAAATATATCTCAGAATATGATATTTGTGGAAGGGTTAAGGCGGACCATATGCGTACGTCCAGATTTCTACAGCCCTTGCCTATCCCTGTTTGGAAATATGAGGATATTTCCATGAACTTTGTTTTGGGTTTGCCCTACACGGTACAGGGGTTTGATTCTATTTGGGTCATTGTGGATCGTCTTACCAAGTCTGCTCATTTTCTCCTGGTGGATACAAGGTATTCAATCAAGAAGTATGCTAAGCTGTATTTTGATCGGATTGTAACCTTACATGGGGTTCCTCTTACCATTGTTTCGGATAGAGGATCAGTTTTTGTCTCTTGTTTCTGGGAGCAACTCCAGAAATGTCTTGGTACTCATCTCCTCAGAAGTTCAGCTTATCATCCGCAAACTAACGGTCAGACAGAAAGAGTCAATCAAGTACTTAAGGATATGTTCAGGGCTTGTGTCATATCTTTTCCAGAAAAGTAGGACGAATGCTTGACTCTAGCTAAGTTTTCTTATAACAATAGCTATCAAGAGAGCATTCGAATGGTACCGTTTGAGGCCCTATATGGCAAGAAATGTAGAACATCTCTTAACTGGGTTGAAGTGGGTGATTATGGTTATTTTGGACCTGATTTTATCAAGGAAGCTTGAGAGCAAGTTAGTGTTATTTAGAGTCATTTGAAGACAGCTCAAATCATCAGAAAACTTATGCGGACAAGCGAAGAAGGCCCTTGCAGTTTGAAGTTGGTGACCATGTGTATCTAAAGGTATCCCCGATGAGAGGAGTGCATCGGTTTGGAGTCCATGAAAAGTTAGTTCCTCGTTATATCAGATCTTATAAGATTTTGGAGCGATGTGGTGCGGTTGTTTATCGTCTCTAGCTTCCGGATATTTTGTTAGTAGTACATAATGTCTTTCATATTTCCCAATTAAAGAAGTGTTTACGAGTTTCTGCGGAAGTGGTGAAAATTGAAGGACTCCCTCTCCAACCTGATCTTTCTTATATTGAGCATCCTGTTAAAATATTGGATGAAAAAGAGAGAGTTACTAGAAATAAAGTGGTGAAATTTTTTAAAGTTTAGTGGCAAAATCATTCGGCGGAC